AGAGGGGGGGGGGGGGGGGGGGAAGAGAGAGAGAGAGAGAGAGAGAGTATATATATAAATAGCTCTTGAACATTATGCCTAAATATAAACTATTCATTAAGCTTTTCATTGCATCATATTAAACCGGTTTAGAAAAAGCATAAAAATCCACTCAGATAAAATAGGTTTATTTAAAAGTTATTTTCAGCAAAATGAATATGCAAAATACAAACTCTGTCAAAATGTTCATTTCACTTCATAGTTTACAAAATATACAAAATAGAAGTCTCCTTAAATTTATATTACATATTTAATATGTAAAGACCTATATAGAAAAAAATTTTGTTCTGCTCAAGGCATTTTTGTGAATAAACCATTGTACAAATTATTGCACATTGAAACCACAGTGCATTACAGACTGTCTGCATAGAAAATTAAACAAACACAAATAAACCAGGTTTATTAACCTGATTTAGGTCATCATTAATTGTAGATCGGAAGACAAATGTATTTCCTTGTCAAATATGCAGCAGTTTGAGAACTTTGGCTTCCTTTTTTGGTACCTTAAGAACCAAATGTCATTCAGCACCATGAAAATAGACTTTTAACAACTCTGTACCTGAATTTCTTCTTCCCCATTTGACAGTTTAGTAATGGCTTTTGGAAGGTAAAAGAAATTGCAAGATTATATCATGTTTACAATATTGCATTGAAAAGAAATTTTAAGGGAATTTAGGGTGAAGACAGGCATGATATTCAAAGAGAAATCATAGTGGATTTATCACTATTGCCACCAAATGAGCCAAGCTAGCTCAATGCTTTGGAATTAATGTGCCTTTTATAAAATCAAATGGTGCATCTGGGATCAAGCTCGTATTTCTCAACTTCCTTAAGGCATGCTGCTTTTCGATCCCATTTAAATACAATACGTACATTTGCTTTCTCCCCATAACAATACACCTTTTAAAATTGTTACAAAAGTGCTTTGGAAACTTGGTTTTCTCTCTTCCAAAGAAAAAAGTAAAGCTTTTGGCCCAATTGAGTAAAGAACCTTCAAAAACAGGGTTACTGTTCTACCAGTGTCATATCTGTCTTCACCAGTTGGTTCCCTACGTAATTTCCCATCCATCCATCCATCCATCCATCCATCTATCCATCCATCCATCCATCCACCCACCCATCCATTCATCCCTCCCTCCCTCCCTCAACATTTGTGTTAACCCTGATATCCTTGACTTCCAGTCAGTCCTTGGCATTCTGTAGTCCAAAAAGATTCAAGTCAGATTTTTTTAAAAATGGAATGATGATTTTAAATCCAGTCATTGTTCCCTTTATTAAAAAAAAATCCACATTTGTTTAAGATTGTTCATTCTTTTTGAAACCCCCCCCCTTTATTTTTTTTTGGAAGACTTCACTGGGGTTTTCTGTAGTGCTTTAAAAGTGGAGTCCTTCCCTCGTGTGGAAGACAGTCCTTGTGCTGTCAAATACTGTATCTTCTCCATGCTGTAAGGGTAAAGTTCCTTGTGTCCTCCTCAAAAGTGTCTCTTCATGTGTAAGGCGAGGTGGTCAGACCTGGAAAATGCTCTGTCACACCTCTGGCATTGGAAAGGGCGGTGGCCCGTATGTTTTCTGTAGTGACGTGTAAGTTCATCGGAGCGGGCAAATTTCCAGCCACAGCCTTCCCAGTCACAGTGATAGGGCTTCTCACCTTCAGAAATAAAAGAGCCACATCAATTACTTCTGCATTTGGGGCAAATATTGGAACAAACCTCAATGAATGGATCAAGAAGTAAATATCAGTCTGTTTCAATTATCGTTAACAAATTCTCCAATGACTAGAGACACCTGTTATTATCCTTGCGGATTCAAGAAAACTGTCTCTTATGAACTTCTTTCCCCAGAATTCAGAAAAGTTTAATTATATACATGTTTTCTTTTAATGCATATATACATTTAGCTCACTGCCCTTTCCGTTCACTAGGTTTGGAAAAATTAAAAAGAAGCTATAATAATTACGTGATTGGAAACAGCCAAATAAAAGAAAATGAAAGGGAATAGGATACTAAACTTGTAAATGAGAGACACCTGTGGCTAATGAGAATTGCTTTTGAGCATCCAAGGAGACACGTTACTTTTTAAAAAAAATATTTTTAATATTTTAGGGCAATTCCATTTTCATAAGATTACACTAAATTCGTGGTTGGCCAGGATTTATTTAAAAATCAGTGCATAGGTAACAATGATTCAACTTTATCACCAATTATTGCAAAATATTATCCGTCAGCAGCCTCTATGTACTCAGAAATCAGGACATATAGAGAGACATAAAAGATAATAAACGATTTTACTGATTGTGTGGCAATATGACCTATGCACTTCTTTTCTTAAATTCTTTTCTGACTGCTTCTGGACTAAAGTAGTACAGAATTACAGTACTTCTATCATCTTTTAGCTACAGACAAAACCAACCAAAAAATAGCACAAAGAAACATCTTAGTGAAGCTTTCATGTTTAACTATATCTTGGTGATTTCATGAAAGTTTCAACCTATCAACCTTGTTAAGTTTCTTTTAAAGTTCATTCTCCTAAGCCACCTGGAGAACTGAAAAAGTTTAATTCCATGTCTGAATTGTGCACTTATACCACTGTTATCACAAATGAGTCGATAATCTCCACCATTCTTATAGTGAGGAAATGTCACTCAAATCAGTGAAAATCAGTGCTTCAAATTAGGATGTTATCTTGCTTTGTTTTTTTTTTTACAAGGCAGCCCAAATTATTTAATTGGAGATAAATCCTTTAGAATAACTTAGAAAATATTGGGGTGGATTGGTAGGTAGAGTGCATGTTCTGTGTGCACCTTTAACACACAGTTAATTGGAAACCATATGCACATTGCCATTTTAAATATATTGACATAAAATAAAGCTCCTTTGGAAACCAAAATACTTTCTTCCAAGGCAACATGGGGTATGTGAAGTAAACTGACAATTTTCAAAATAATATTTCATAACTTGCGAGCTATATAAAGCTTAGCAGCAAAAAACAATTAAATGGGTCATTTTTGTCACTTTATATAGGTGGCTTGAAAAGCCAGAACTAGAGATTTTCCAGAGCTAATTATCAAGGGGATTGTTGACTGGCAGCTGCTTTTATGAACTGGGGGAAAAAAAGAACTGTCAATACTTTGTGGGAGAGCAGTTTGGTTTAAATAAAATCAAAACAACTCCCATATAAAACTTGATTTCCTGGATCATAGTCAGTAAACTAACATTGGATGATTTCTAGAAAATGAGAATGAACAGGAATCATAAACCCCAAACAAGAGCAAAAAAATAAACAAATTGTGGTTATTTGCAGCATCCATTTCCCTGAAGAAACATGTCAATAATGTTATCAGGATAAACATGCTTAATTCAGTTTGGATTTCAAGCTACCTTGTAATTAACTAGCCACATGGCCACAGCCAGGCAGGCAGCGCTCAAGCATCTATCTGCAAAACAATTCCTCTGCCAGGAGTGAGTCATTTTGAGCCATTTTAACCAACACCTTCAATCTGAAAGCAAATCCATAATTGTAATGGGCTTTTGACAGTTAAACTCCTATGTTAATGGACAAGACTACAATGCACTATTTAATACAGTTGTGAAACAGTGCTATTCTAACTTCTTGTGTTAATAACAGAGTTGTGTTCTAATCCACACAAACTGAACAGTAGTATTTTTCCCCCTCAGGGATGGATGTGGTTTGAGAGCAAAACATGGCTCCTTAGAGTATGCCTGTTATCCATTGAACAGAATTTGCAGGGGGGGTTTTAAAGCCCCCCCCCCCAAAAAAAAAACAAAAAAAAAACTAGTTAGGCAAGTACAAAAGTGTTCACTCATATATGCCATGGAGCATGCTGCCTGCACCTCTCAAATAATTCCCAGGACTTTTTGCTGAAGTTGGAGGAGTTTAAAACTGCAGTTCAAAGCACACTCAGAGCGAGATACCTCTTAGAAAACATTTATAGGATGATTGCTAAATAGTAGTGAAAAGTAGTGTGAAAGTGGTGTGCAATCTTTCTTTTTCCACCCACTATTCTCTCTCCTCAGACAAGTTCCACTGGCTCTAAACACTAGAGTGATAGTGGCTGGGTCCATTTCTGTACACTTTGCGTGCTGAAAAATATCTACAACATCTGGCCAGGTGGCAGAGGATCTCTAAATCTGTGTAAGCAATAAGTGTGACTAATCCCAATTGCCTTTCAGTAAAATGTTGGAATTGTCTACCTCAAAACAGTCTTCTCTTACTACTGGAGCAAAGCATTATTAACTCGCCCTTACCTGTATGGGTCCGAAGGTGTGCTTTGAGGTGAGAGCTCTTTGTGTACGTTTTACCACAGCCTGCGTATTCGCAGGTGTGTGTGGCAGTCCTTTTCCTGGGCCATGACCTCCGTCCCCTTTTGGGCTTGGTCTCTTCAGAGAGGCAGGTCCCCGAAGGCATCAGCTCTAGAGGTGAAGAGGGCGGAGTCAGCATCATCCCTTGTACCAAGCGAGGCATATTTAAAGGCTCTCCAAAAACATTTAGATAGCAAGACTGACCTTGATACTGGAGGGCGTTGGGCGGCAGCTGCTCTGGAAGAAAAGGAGGGTAGGCCGGGCCAGGATGGTAGCCTGGAGGAAGTGGAAGAGTCGAATGATTTAAGCCCTGGGGGGAAGGGTGGCAGTCTCTAGGAGACATCATCTCCTCTGGAGTCAAGGGAGGATTAGTCCTACTAGGTAATGGCCGACCCAAAGAGAAATCGTGCGGTTGGGCCCTTGGACTATTCCCATGGGATTGGCCCATGGTGCACGAAGGGGCTGCCTCTTGCTTGATTTTGGGGCACATTCTGGGCACATGGTTGTACACAGAAGGGGGCACAGGTCCATCCGTGCAGGGGGAAGCTGCAGAAGCAACACTGTTCTTGATATGGTTATTGCATTCTCCCATGTTCACCGTAGCCTTCAACACAAATTTCCCGTGAAGGCTGCCTAGTGGAAGAGGTGGTGGAGGAGGCGGCTGCTGAGTCTGTTGCTGTTGCATGTAAACAGGGTCCAGATCTGGCCTCATCAGTTCAGCTACAAATCCACCCGAAGGGGACACATCATTTATATCAGCCAGGTTGAAGGGGGCAGCTGGAGCATGTTCTCTAGTGTACATTATACCTCCAGGATGATCTTCCCTTTGCAGCTGGTAGGAAAAATCACAGGTGGTCACAGGAGGGCAGGTGCTACTTGCGACAGAGGGCGAAGAACCAGGAGCGCTCACAACTGCAGCAGCAGCTGTGGGCTGCTCCTGGGGCATCAGGGAATTTGACAAGATGAAATCAAAGTCCAGAAGCTCATTCAATTCCTCCGTCTCCCGCCTTGACATAGTCCCACTGTTGCCGTTTATGGTGTTTTCCAGCTCAGAAGAGAAGTCAAAATGCCGTCCTGTCAGTACAGGGGGGAACCGCTTGAGGTGAGAAAGCTCCTCCCTCCACTTCTGTGTGAAGAAGATAAAAATGTAGCATTAATGGAAAGTCTCCTTTTGTTTGCTGGCAAAATCAACTAAGACGTCAAGTATACTTTTTAAGTCTGGAAAAGCACAAGAAAAAAAAACATACTAGTTATTAATAGACATATAGGAAAAAAATCCTTAAACGCTTAAAATATTACTTTTTGAATCATATAATTGAGTTGGCAACTCTATCATATGTATGTATGTGTATGTATGTACAAACCTCCTCTGTATACATTTGAAACAGTGATTGTATAGCCTAAAGAAATCAACTGCTGAAAAGTGGAGCTAGTGGAAATTAAATATTCAATATTGTGTGAGTATCTTTGAGAAAGACTGACTTAAGTAACCTGATTACAAAAATATACATTAGGAATCTTCTTTTGAAAAATCTGCTACATAAGTTTTTAGGGCCAAATATAAGCAATTTTCAAACTATAACACAGAACTGCTCATTTTTCTTCTCCATTTTGTGCCAGCTGATTTTTAGGGGGACACAAAGTAGTCCTAGTTTATGAGCTTATGCCAGAATTTTTAACTGTCAAGTCTGAAACTACAGGGCTTAACTAACTCATTTTAAAGCCATAATTATTAGTGTCTAGCATGAACAGCATTCTGCTCAAAAGTCACAAGATAAAAATAAAGGCATCACTTTGCAATCCTGTCATTAGTTTATACTTATTATACTGCCTCTGTATATAGATTATATGTACATTTCCAGTACTTTTACCTACATATTAAAACTTTCTTTAAGATTCAGTAAATGTGATGAATATACATGACAGAACCCCCCCCCTCCAAAAACAGTTTTTCTGAGGTAGTCACCGATTTAGGAAAATACAAATAAACCGATTTTGCAATAACTGCACATGCCACATTAATGCATTAGATTGCACTCATTAATAATTAGGCACATGTAGGCGTTTTCTGAGGCTGGATGCATTATACAACAGCAGCTAGAGAAGCAAGGCATCAGCCTGATACAAAGAAAAGCTAACCTAGGCACATGAGTAGGTGTATATATTTCCAGAGGCTGCCAATGTATTAAACATCTCCATCCACACCCATGATTTTGGTTTGTGATACGCCACATACTTCAGTTTATTTAATTCATTGTATTCCTTCATGGTATATTTTTCTATCCATGGGTGTTTCCCTCTCACTCAAAATGCTGATTTTAAACTTGAAACAAAATCTATGCCTACGCAAATGGTAAAGAAGTTTTTGCCACAACCCAAGAATTGAGGGAAAAGGGAAAAAAAAAACACCTCTGCACTTACACAGCACACTAAACTACCACACTAAACTACGACCCCGGCAAAACACATTTTAACCAAGTGGATTGCCAAACCGAGCCCATGAGTTTAGCTGATGGTTCCTTGCGTTGGGCAAACTCAGGAAGTCTGAATGAGTACATCATGATTAAGTTAGCCATGGTGCATTTGGGGTGAGTTGTGCACCAATGCGGATTTGTGTGTTATGTTTTTAGTAAGGCAGTTAATCACTGGATTACTTTGGAGAAAAATCTCAGATGCTCATAGATACCTATAAAACTATACCACAAAAGTTAGAATGACTTCCTTTTACTGTTCTTTTTTTTAAAGCTTGCTTCCTTTATAATAACCTGCACCAGGAAAGGACTTTTGTTTGATTTCTAGAAATTTGATTAGAACTCTGGTCAGAATCCAATTGCTTTCCAGATTTCGGGAGAACACTGTTCTTTGGCTCTATTTTTGTCATTCGAGCCTTAAAAACAACAACAAAACAACACCATTCTCTTCTCCCCAAACTGTTCACCAACGCCCAACTGTTTTAAAAATAAGCCCCAAAATGCCTTCCAATTCGAGAGCCCCTTTTCAGCAAAGCGAGGGAGGATTTGCCGCTTTGTACAGAACTTTCTCAGGGTGGCACAAGAAGCGAACTCTATTCAAGTACATTCTCTCTCTCTCTCTCTCACGCACGCACACATTTTATATATTTATATATATATATATATATTTATATATATATTTATATATATTTCCTTCCAGCGATGTTGGGGCTGATCCCAGGTAAAATTCTTTCCCCGCGCTGCAGAATTCCTCCGCTACACCCACCAACCCCGGCGAATACTCACGTTGTGGCCACCTGCTTGTCTCAAGGCTTTTTCCCTGCCGGCCGTGCCCGCCGTGGCGAAGGTGGAGATGGAAGGGAGGAGGGTGCCGCTGAGTGCCATGTCAAACTCGCCGGGGGGCGGCTGCCTGCAAAAATGTCAGAGGGAGAGTAAAGCCACCGACGACGACGAGGGACAGTTGCATCCAAGGAGGAAGGAGGGAGGGAAGGAGGGAGGGAAGGGAAGGGGAGAAAGAAGGGCAGCTCCGCCGTTGGATTCTGCACACTGAAAAGTTTTTAATTTCCAAGCAGGGAAAAGGGGGAAGAAAAAAAGGAGTGGAAACCCCCCCCCAAAAGGGGGGGGGAGAGAGAGAGGAGGAATGCCACCCACCTCATTAACGTGTGAAGAGCCGCTGTGTGGTCGGAAGGCACAGAAAACGGCTATCTAATTTAAACTATCTGTGGAGAAATATATATCTAGATCTATATCTATATAGTATACACATATATATGTATATACACACAGTATATTGCAAGTGGAATAGTCGCGTTTAAAAAAAAAAAAAAAGGGTCCTTTGGACGAAAGACTGCGGGAGATGTCTTGCAGCGACTCCTACGAGGAGGAGGAGGAAGAGAAGCCCCGCCAGGGAGTAGCAGCAGCAGCAGCAGCAGCAGCAGCCGAAGCCGCTTCGCAAATCGGCGTCAGCGTCAGCAGCAACACCAACAGCTGGAAGGCGCGAGGCAATTCCTGGGGATTCCCTGCTCGCGCCGCTGCCATGAGGGGACTTCTGGAGTTTCCCACAGCCGCCGCGTGTCCCTGGCTGGCTGGCGGGCGGGCGGGCTGGCGGGCTAACTGGCGGGCGGGGTTGGCGCTTGCTCGCTCGCTTTTTCTTTTCTTTTTTGCTCGCTCTCTCTCTCTCGCACGCGCGCGCTCCGGCCTTTTTTTTTTTTTCCTCCCCTCTCGCTCTCTTCTCTCTCGGCGGAGAAGAGATGCCCGCGCGGCTCGAACTGTCAAGCCGCGCGCCCGCCGTTGCCTTACTTATAAACTCCAAGCCAGCTCCGCCCAGCCCCGCCCTCGCTTCGGAGCCCCGCCCATTTGCGGGGGCTAGGGAAGGTCGCCCTGACAACGGGAAACAACAAACTTTACTCCCTCCAACACGTGGGGAGGGGAAGAAGGAGAGAGACGCACGTTCTCTCTCTCTCTCTCTCTCTCTCTCTCTCACACACACACACACACACACACTTACAAACATAGAGGAAAAAAAAGTAGGGTTGGGCCGTGACGTCAGCGGAGCAGCTGGCTGGCAGCTCGCGCGCGTCGCTGACGCTGGGCGAGGAGGGGCCGCGAGGCCCTCGCCGGCCTTCGACGTCCCCCCTCCCCCCCCTCTTTTTTTTTTTTCCTTCCTCCCGCCGGGCAGCGCCTCACACCTGCCCAAAGCGACGAGAAAGGGAAAGCCGAGCCGGACGCTTCTGGGTTAGGATGCCTAAAGGGTTGGCCGCGAGGGCGGCTCACTTTCGAGGAAGTCGGCCGGCAAATGTCCGGCTTGCAATCCCATTAGGATTGTTGCTTTGGGTGTTAGGAGAGAAGCTCTCCACTCCATGCGAGACGGGTCTTTGCTGGATACATCCTTGAGAGGAGGGAAACTTAGCTTTGAGGCATTGCCTAGAATTCTTTGTAGATACGTACTCGTTCATCTTCCTCTTGGCAGTCCCTCATGCTAATTGGAACCTTATTTGTTATGTTCAGATTCCCCCCCCCCCCCTTGTTGCAAGAACATACCCTAGAAAGATATAAACAGCCTACCTCTGACCAGGATTGCAAAACCAAACATATTTTTGGTTAACGTATTACAGAATTGTGCGCTGTGATATATCCCCCCCTCCCTCCCCGGGAATAATTTGATATACTGACCAGTCTTCAATATATAAGGGGCTGACCCATCCTGGATTAGTATCAAGCCTGCACAACTCCAGAGTTAATTGGGTTCAAACTAAAGTCACTGATGAAAAAGCTCATGATGCGTTTGACCATGCTAAGGAAATCGAATTAGAATTTTTCACAATTCAGGCAATTTCAAGATGAGAGACAGGGAACTGTTTCTTCGTGTTTTTTTTTTTTTTTTAAGAATAGTGGAAAGGTCATAGAAGATGTCTCCAGTTTTATGGCTGCCACCTGAATTTAGGTCAGAGTCTTCTTAATTGGCAGCAAAGTCTAGTGGAGATACAATTCTTGCAAGTGTCAATAGCCATCAAGACTCATATTTTGTTAATGGTTTTATGGCAGAAAAGTAAAAGTTGTGTGTTTTATTAAAAACATTTCTAGCCCACCCACTCTAATCCAAAGGATTCCGAAGAAGATTGAGAGAGTAGGAATTGATTAAAAATGAAGGAAGGGAAGTAAAAAATTATACTTAAGAGGGAATTTGTGTGCAGAAGTTACAACAGCTTTTAAGATCATTCATCTGTGTCACAAGTTTTGATGTGTCACTTGGTTGAGATTCTACTGTCCTTGCTTTAGCTGTTGAAGAAGGAACATTTTGTCTTCTCTATCTGACAGTCCATTATTTTATGAGAAAAGTCTGCTTTTTAAATTGACAGCATCTTCCAAAAATAATTTAAATAATAATTTAAAAAATAATTTAAATAAAATATGCTGTTCTTTTTGTCATTGACAAGATTCTGTTTTATTTTGCAATTGCTGAGAAAATAACTGAGACACTAACCAGAACAAATTATTTATGTTTTGGTGTGTGTGCATATGTGTATAACTCTACTTGATTATACTTACCTATATAGCTTGATACCTATGTCTGGGCATGCTTGTGAGGAATAAAGTTGCTTTCCAATCACATAACTGGGCACATCACATGTCTCTTCAATTCAGTTGAGTTTTATTTCAAAGTTCAACTCAGTTCAAGACCTCACTAATCGATACAAAAATAAATTCTATGCAATGAAGTGCAATTATTTACATCTTATTTAAGAAAATGATGGCTTTCTGCCCTACACATGCATCTTATAGATATATCTTCATGTACACCTATTTACTTACATTAAAATCTAGATATGTTAATATTTTGCTGCTTTTTATTGTTCTATTTTCTCAAATGAGTATGAAAAACATTTGAAGCACTTGAGAAATGTCAGTATTACTCGCTATGCAGAAGAACTGGATGGTAACATGGCATCCACTATTTGAGAATGTGCAAATAATTTTACTCAGATAAAATAGACTAAATCAGTGTTTCCCTCAAGATCTCTGTTTATGGAAGTTTGTATCTTTTCCTGTGCTACCTAACCAGAAAAATATACAGAGGAAATCTAATGAAAAAATTAGAAAAAGAATGGATAAGATTAAGCTGTAAGAAACTTTTGAAAAACAACTGCCAAATTTAATCTTCACCGTCATATTGTAAGTGTAAAGTGGAAATCATGATGATGAACTGGAAGCAGCTTCCAGAAGAGGCTTATTTACAGACTTTTTCATTAAAAAATATCTATGGAGGATTATTATTTCCAATTTTCCCAACCCATTTTTTCCTACAGTGCTTTAATTGGGGGAAGCCTCCCAAGCCTTTGGTTTGGGAAATACTCTTAAATTATTTTGAAATAAATATCCCTAAATTAAACAAGATTTATTTCTAAGTATCTGAGTTTAAGATGGAAGCTCTGAAAACTAAGTAGCAGAAAGCATCTGTGTTATTAATAACCAGGTGCATTTGACTTACCTCCTCTACCCTCATTTGATTAGGTATTTTCCATCTGTTGAAATTGATAGCAACATTTTCATATTTTTCTTTTGAGATAGGAAAAAAAATATTCCACATCCGTCTTGAATTTTATCATAGGTGTGCCTGAGTACATGCATTTGCAAAACCCATTATTCCCTAGTTTCTTCAGGTTTATGATGATTACAATTCCTTAGAATATTTGCGGAGATCTATCTATATAATAATTACATTTGAAACCCACTTTGTGAAAAGGAGGTGAGCTCCATATGGTGCTTTTGTGTTTGTAGGTGACTGTCTGCCGTGGCCCCACTTCCCAGCTTGTGTTTCACACTTCAGTCCAAATTGGCAAGATATGTTGAAGATTTGAAAAGTTGAGTAAATGGTGATATAAATGCCCTGCAGCTTAAGAGGTTCTTTATCCATAGAATTCAAATAGATACAAACATCATTTCACATATTAAGATTTGCCAAAGTTCATGCTATTTGCATTTTTAGAGTTATTTCAAGTTGTGTATAAGGGCACCTGCTAACAAGGCAGTTGCAACTGTGGTGTTTGTTTCATACTTCATTGCATTTTGTAATGGACAAGTTGGGAGCTTAACCCATTGTTCTGAATTTCAGAATTTCATCTCAGATATGGATAATGGCTACCCCTTTTTCCTTCTACAATATCTGTTTTATATAACTGCCCTTAAAGTATGACTCCAATAGGAATTTTTGCTGCATCAGCTTGTGTTACAAGTTCTAAGTTTTTAAAGAATATTTCATAGCTATTTTCTTGTGCTTAAGATAATAATAGCTCATGCAGATATTTGGTTTTTCCATTATCATCTAACTTAAGAATCAAAGTTGTATCAGAAATATGTTTTTGGTCTGTTTCCACAATGATTTGATAAGATACCCAAAGAGCTAGAGTGATTGTAAACTTTTGAACTATATGTAGTCCTTGAGTTATGACTGTTCACTTAGCAACCATTTTAAATTACAGTAGGCCCATAATTGGTGCTTTAGGCCCAGTAAAGCACTTCTGGCCATTATAAAATGTTGTGTCATGCTCCTCTGATCATGTGACCACATTTAGAGTGTTTGGTAACCAGCTAACCTTTATGATTGATTGCAGCAGCTCACAGACACATGATTGTGATTTGGATTTTTTTGCCAGTTTCTGGTAAAAACTGTCCATTTGGAAGAATGAGTTCACACTTAGAGACATGGTGCTCATTTAACTACTGTAGGTCCAGTTAACCATGGTGATTCATTTAACAGCCACCGCAAAAAAAAATGTAAAGTCAGGTCTGGTCACACGGAAGCCTGGAGTTATAACCATAACAACTTATGACTGGAAATCTGATCCCAATTGTTGTAAATTAAGGCCTACCTGTAGGTATAATGTAAAATAAACCCTGCCTGCTCTGAATTTTGAAGTATTCAAGACATACTATGCACGAACCTTTAATCTGAAGAAAGATAAAATATCCTTTTTAAACTTTTTTTTTTTTTTTTGCTTGAAATCTCTCTAGATTAAACTCTTCTGTTTATTCCTTCCTGATGAAACATACTTTGACTAGCCTGCTAATCTAATACTTGGAGTATGTTAAGTAATAATCATTTAATACTTTGTGAACAAAAATCAAAATAATATTCTGTTCTTCATTTTATTAAAGTATATTATAGGATCAAGGACTACACCTCTGTGAAAAATCCCTACTTTCTTGATTTATAATCCAGTATATATAGATGAAAGTACATTCAATAACTCAGATTATTTATAGGTGGAATTATAGCTCTAAGAAAAAAAACTGTAAAATTGTTTTCGCATTTATGTGATAAAATTAAACTTAATATCAGGTACAGATTCTTGAAAGAATGAAGCCTTGAGCTGTAAATCCTTTTGGGGTGATTCAATTCCAGATACATAAAGTTTACTAACCTCCCTTCTCTTAATCTGTTATTTTTAAACAGGTTAATCGGGAAAGTTAATCCTGCAGTATATAATTTAGAAACATGAGGGTGATTAACCTTTGATGACTACATTAAACCATGAAATAATAGAATACTCTGGTTTCTTTCAGGTATCCTGTATTTCAAGTTTAGCCATATTAATAGTTAATTTTCGAGGTTGATGAGAACAAAATGTTTCCTGTGTTAAGGTCATTTCTTGACAGAAGATGTGCTGAGAACCATTAATATCAAATGATTAATGCAGACACATGAGAAATAAAACAAGGTGGAGATTCTGCCCCCCCTTTATTAAAAATTGCTTTTG